AATCGCGTGGCCATGGCCGTGGCCGTGGCCGTGAAAGTGAAATTCGTGAATGAAACGAGCGGAGGAACAGCCGGCAAAGCAAAGTGAAGGTAAAGGTTGCCGGTTTCGGTTGCCGGTTTCGGCTGCTTGCGCGGGCCCGTCCTCTCTTTCGACTTTCGGCCGCCCCGAATACTCCGTTTCGTCGCTTCGCGGAAAAACTTGCTTCTCCCTCGAAATTATTCTGACCGTCGCTAAGTTGCCGGTGCTCGATTCTAACCGCACCGGTGGTAGGTTAATTGTAAAATAATCGATTCTGTCCGTATCGCAATCTCGATCGAGTGTCGTGGCTCGAAGAAACGGAGCCGCAGTTTCGAGAAGATATTGCACGTCGAAACGTGGCCATTCTCCGTTTAGCACGTGGGCGGCTGTTCGTAGGAAAAAGCGCGCATTGTGCCGGTTAACGAGAGGAGGTGGACGGCGAAGGCGGTGGGTTTCCCATGAGCCGCGGTGCCGCAAAAACGCCGCTCGAGCGATGTCGCAACCGCAGTTAGAAAGCTCAGCTCTATTACGCCTGCTCGTTCGCTCGGTTGCTCGTCGACTCCGCTCGTGACTCGTTCGGACCTTCTGCAAAAATCCGACGGAGGAAATTGAGAAACATCGTGGGCCATTCGGAAGGTCTAAGTTCGAAGTTCCGTTCTTTTCTCGACGGTCGGTTTCTCGAAGGATCTTAATCGCGACAACCGGTCGCTTTCGGTAGACGCGACAAGCTGCGGTTAATTGCAATTAATCCGCGGTCCTTCTAATTAGACAGGAACAAAAGCAGGCCTTTTGTCGAAGGGTGGATGGGACACGTTAATTGGATCGAGGGGTGCGATCCTTCGAGCGGGAAAAGGGATCGCGCGAGACCGGGACACCCGTTAGAGAACTTGTTGCGCGAATCGGGAGAAAGAACAGGGCCGGTCGAAAAGGGCCGCTAGGCTGGCTCGTATTGATCCAACAACCGGCTAAACCCTCCTCTTCTCGTCGCTGCATCGTTGCATTACCGCTGTTTCCTCGACGCGGAACGCAACGACTCCCTGGAACCGCGTTGGACGAATAATCCTGCGGAATGGTCGGCCAGGATGCTTCTTGCCAAGTCGACGGGATTCACCGTAGCCAAAAAGTTGAAATTTTGACGAATTATCTCGATGGTTCGCGTGTAAATGCTCGCAAAGTTACAGTGGCTAGTCACGCTCGGCACAGATCGATAAACCGTCGCGATAAGATCGTCGAATGGGAAGAGCTTCGTTCGAGAAACTCGTTCCAAGAATATCGGTGCAACAACCACTACGTAGCACCTGTACAGAATCTAAGGTACGATCGAACGTGGCGCAACGCGATGCACGAAATCCGGTCGAAAAGTCGCGGCAACGAACGTTCCAAGAAAATCGAACCGATCGAACGAATTTGTTTTTACGATCGATAACGCGCGTTGCCGATTTCACCGATATCGCGCGAAGATAAGATCTAGAAAGCGATCGTCCGATGAGCGATGTCGCAACCGCAGTTAGAAAGCTCAGCTCTATTACGCCTGCTCGTTCGCTCGGTTGCTCGTCGACTCCGCTCGTGACTCGTTCGGACCTTCTGCAAAAATCCGACGGAGGAAATTGAGAAACATCGTGGGCCATTCGGAAGGTCTAAGTTCGAAGTTCCGTTCTTTTCTCGACGGTCGGTTTCTCGAAGGATCTTAATCGCGACAACCGGTCGCTTTCGGTAGACGCGACAAGCTGCGGTTAATTGCAATTAATCCGCGGTCCTTCTAATTAGACAGGAACAAAAGCAGGCCTTTTGTCGAAGGGTGGATGGGACACGTTAATTGGATCGAGGGGTGCGATCCTTCGAGCGGGAAAAGGGATCGCGCGAGACCGGGACACCCGTTAGAGAACTTGTTGCGCGAATCGGGAGAAAGAACAGGGCCGGTCGAAAAGG